TTTTTTTATTTTATCTAATGCATAACCGATTGTTAGTTGAATTTGTCACTGGGACCATAAGTCTATGGAATTTTCCTGATAAATTACACCCCTGAAGCCCCTAATTATCACCACAGCAACTGTTTCAAGTGAGCTTCATTCCCCTTACTTATAAAATTACTGCAACCATAAATTTGCACAAACATTGCTAAGAAAGTAACTCTATCCCTCTAGTCTCTAGAGTATAGTTTTCACATAATGTTCTGGTGGTTGGCATTCACTTAAAAGGAGTCAGAGGCAAAGGGTATAAAAGTTGCAGATCCTACAGTCAGATCACATCAACTCAGGAGCAAGTGGCCTTTGAAGATGAATATCGGCAAGCTGCTGATTCTGATTCCTTCAATCCTCATTTCAACCAATGCTCATCCATTTCGAGAGCATCAAACTGCCAATACGGCGGTTATGAAGCCTTATTCGTGCACAAGCATGGTTGAAGTTGATCATAACGGTGTGATGAAACAATTATATGGTTGCAAAAGCAGTGAGTTGAAAAACATTTTTACTCAATAATCAGCCATCTTTTGATCTCGATATTCTTTTTTTAAGTGTCAGACCAATTTTGCATTGGTGGTGATATGCCGACATTTACCTGCGGTAATAGTTACACCAACTGTGACGGTATCTACTGGTATGACAGTTTCTACACGTGGGTAGCTTTCATCTGTGACCGTAAGTATTCTAATCTACACAGTAGTCACATAATTTGGCCATTTTGTGTGACCCATGACATAATGTGGAGGGTGATTGATAGTGCATGATGTCTATAAAGCATGTGCATCAAGTGGGCTTCTTTTAACTTCAATGACTCCAGTTTTATACCCTCTTCTAGCTACACTCAGTAGTACTCGTGATGTCTTTCAATACAGTTCCCGGTGTTAATGTTCCCTGCTACCGAGCAGAGGGTGTTGCTACCTCCTAGCTGTCAGCATGTACAACTGGAAGGTAAGTATTTCTGAACTATGTACACAGGATTTTGTATTTATAGAGCACATGCATTTAATAATTATTATTATTAATATGCAGCACGTTCTCAAGAAAGAGACTGCTTTTGCATCAGTGATCACAATGGTGACAAAGTTTGTGTACCAGAGGGATGTGATTCACCTCAACGAAAATTAGCACAGGTACAGTTAATTTTTACTAGCTACTACTTACACAAACTCCTTCGCCATCATGATTAAACCTATCACAGTACCAAGAGTTGACGGCTAGTGACATGGTAGTCGATGATACACAATGCATCTGCCTGGTGAAAGGTGACAGTGGACGTAAAGTTTGTCAACCGGCAAACTGCAATCATGGCCGCACGCCACCTGAGGTGTGATAATAATTATCTCCTTACTATAAGAAAGATGTTTAGTCAGATATAAATGAATACACACTACATTATTAAGGGGCTTTGCCATTTAATATGAACATCATTGGGTGGGTGGAAGCCAGTTGTACTTAATAGGGACTTACTATAATGATTATCTTCCACTGTGTGGGGTTATTGTACATTTCCCTTCCTAGATTCAGGAGAAATTTGCTCGTGTACTTGAAGATGACACTGATTGCATGTGTATTAAGAATGAAAATGGACAAACAATGTGCCAGCCTCCTAACTGCTATGCTGGTGACACTTCAGCCAGGGTAATCCTATTTCTATAGCTATCCACAGGTTAAGTGACTGTGTATTAAACCACATAAAATGTCTGTAAATGTAGAATCAGATGTCGTAGCCATGGTTTATACAGTTTTGGGACCTGGCAATAAGTGGTATATAGAGCCACTTGACTAACATTCCTTGAACTGGGTGGTATTTTACATTCCCCTGCAGAATGAAGACAACTTTGCTCGTATACTTGAGGATGACACTGATTGCATGTGTATTAGGAATGAAAATGGACAAACAACGTGCCAGCCTCCTAACTGCCATGCTGGTTACACTTCAGCCAGGGTAATCCTATTTCTATAGCTATCCACAGGGCTGTGTATAAAAATTGTCTGTAAGTGTATCAGATTTTGTAGCCAATGTACAGTTTTGGGATCTGCCAATAAAGTGGTTAGAGCCACTTGACTAATGACATGAAACATTCTTTGAACTGGGTGGTATTTTACATTCCCCTGCAGAATGAAGACAACTTGGCTCGTACACTAGAGGATGACACTGACTGTGTCTGTATGAAACAAGGTGATGGACCCAAAGTCTGCCAGCCTCCCAACTGTGATGCCGGTCGACCTGCTCAGTTCTGAACACCACAAAAAACTCCTATGACAGTGCTAGCATAGAAGTGTAGAATAGTATGTAGAGTATATAGGACTGTGTACAATGTTACGATAGTACAGCTAAATGATGCATATCAAAATGAAGTGAGATTATACTTGAAGGATGGTGCAAAATTAGCTACAGACATCGCAATAGTAGAAGAGAGTTGATGCAGTTGAAAACATAATTCTCGCGTCACGGTAAACATACACCGGAACAAAATTACGCCTTACAAAACAAAAATACGAGTTGAACTGCGGTAACTATGAACATACACGTAGCCGTCCGTGTCAATAGTCAACCGACCAGGCTCTTCAACATAAGGCACCCCATCATCGAGATCTGTGTCTTGAGCTTCACTGGTGACATGACCGACACATTCACCACAGACAGTAAACACATACACACCATTGCTAGCGTCACTAGCAACGATACGACAGCTGGGATCAAAAATTATTCCACGGAAATAGAAATTTGGGGAAGACAAGGCAAACTCTAGTTGGCGGATAAGAGCCCCATTTGGAGCACACTCGTACACGTAAATTCCGTAGCCCGTCACGTACAGGCCATCAGGACCTTGCGCAATATCAGTAGGCATGTCACATTCCTTCACATCAATACTCCCCACAGCCTTGCAGTGTGTATCAAATATCCTCACTAGTTTCTTACGGCCATCGAGAATGTAAATTTCATCATCGATAATTATCATTGCGACTTCAAATGGTGGAAAATCTTCAAAGAGGCTGTGTTCACAATGTAATAGCTGTCCCTCTGGGCCAAACTTGAAGAGGCAGTTTACACTGACTCCTGAATCGGCCACAAATATTGATCCATCGGAAGATTGTGCAATTGCATGAGGATCTTGGAATTTGTCACACTGAATGACTCCCACTTTCCCTCCGTCTCGTTCCACTATAGTTACCCGCTTTTTCTGGTTAGCCCCTGATAAACTGATTCCAGTTTCAATAACCATTAGCTGCTGTTTGTTGTTGAAGGCCATTCCCCAGATTTTATAGAGGCCACCAATGAGACGAGATCCACTTTTTCCCAGTTGAGAGGGAGGTAATTTGACAAAGACTCGGAAGGGGCTCCCCGCAATTTCTTTGTCCTTCACTTTCACTATGAGATCATGCCGACCTCTGACCTGAGGAGTGACGGAGATGCTGAAGATCCCTACACCATTCCCGACCACCTCTCCCTCTAGTGATGATGATGGATCCGTCACACATTTCAGACTGACAGAGACGTCTTCCAGGGAGGCTGTGGGGGCAGCCAGACTCACTTCCACTGGGGAACCACATTCAACAGACTCCACTGTCGCTACCAGTTCTGGTGCGGACCTAGCCGCTGGAAGCTCAGACGCTTTTTCAGACATGATCCTGGCGAGTGGGCGGGGCCGAGCCGCGCATGCGCGCGTGTATGGACTTTGTTACGCATGCGCAATATTGCTCAGTTTCTGTTGGAAGTGTCTCTAGAGACGTAGGGAACTCCTTTGTCTTGTAAAGAGTCAATGACGTCTTGAGGAAGGTCGCCACTCACTGACATCGCATAGCAACCTGGTACATATCGATCTGAGGAAAGGCAGAAGGGAGTAAAGAGGGAGGAGGGCGAGAGGGGATAGACTAAATATAATTTAGAGGACATGGTTGTTTCATCTCACCAATTCTCTGCCATTTGCTGACCCAACTCTCTTGTGGAATCATCACTGAAATAACGCTGTGAGCAAAGGAAAATTGCGTGAAAATTGACACGCCATGTGCTAATACCCATCGAAGTTGGAGCTGGTGCAGTCCTGGATCATTTCTCTGTTTCCCTTCATCTTGAGGAACCGCTCGCAGTTGTCACAGCCGTTGTAGTAGAACTGATCCTGCGACTGTCAGTTTAGAGGTTACAGACTTTATTCATGCGCCGGGTTACACATGGGGAAGGGCTCCAACTTACTTTTACCATGGAGCAGAGCTTGCACGCCCTCAGACCACGAAGGTCTTTCGGCACCGACTCCATCGACATCTTCCCGGCCTTCGATCTTGTGCAATATTTCTTACTCCCTTTCGCTAAATTTTGCGAGTCGAGAATCGCGCCCCCTCCAGCCGGCTAATTAGCGCGCAACGTTGCATTGCATTCCTGAGTTGTAATTATCCAAGTCTAGAGCTACGGAAAGACGAACGTGTGTGTGGGGAGGGACGAATTTGCAGTCGTGTCAATCACTGAGTTTTAGTCTAGAGTGAGTAAACAACTAGCTATGAGAAACTCGTGTCTCCATCGAGGATCGTGAAAAAGGAGATAGAGAACAACTTGCAAGGTATGTGATAGAGAATCTGTCGTACACGTTACTGTGCTCGACCACTAGGCCTGCAGCGTAGAGGTTTTAGTTTACACGACCTTAGTAACCTTCTTTGTCCGCACACGTGCACCCGTCTGCACTTGGATTTGCAGGTGCTGCGTGCAACGTGCCTTTTCGTCTATTGTTTGTGGTAGGATGGGTGCTCGTCACAGCTCTAGATGCCAAGTAGCTTGCTTAGCCAGAGATTCATCTTCTTTTCATAGATATGTGCAAATGGAAGTAGCGCACCTGCAGTAAAAGTGTGGCAGAGATTCAAGTTTGTCATGTTGAGATTTTTCCTATCACACACCCTTTTGGACGCTAGCAAATCGGGGTTTTCGATAATAGGCAAATATTGATAGCTTACTCTCTCTGGTCATTGGCAGCAGTGTGAGATAATACTGATATGGGCATAGTCTCGGCAGCATGCAGTAAAGGGCTAGATGTACATATGCCAATGAGAGGGAGTTGTCTCTACTGCTGTCATGTGGATACAGCTCACTGACTGTGTTATGAACAAACACCCACTGAGCCACCGCAATCCAAAGGCATGGCTATAAGAGCACAGCAGTAAACTGCTGCCAATGTAGTAAAGGAGAGGTGATAAGTATCCCACACAACAAGTTTCACTTCCTTGTTTATTAAAGTTCAGGATGCTGTATAATGCAGTGCAAAATATATTGAGGAATAGCTTCTTTTATGTAGCTTGTGATAAGCTTGTGAAAGCTGTTGAACAGGATGTGTCATCAGCATACAGTCTACTGAGTATTAATTTTTCTATGATTGTGTGTGTGGTAAGTACTGTTAGGCCTTGATTGGTCTGCCTGTCATCTTGTACAAGATAGTGCTACACGTTTAGCAGGGTCAGTGTGTAGGGCGAAACGACATACAGGTCATGCACGAGTGTGTGAGTGTGCAGCTGTTTTGTGTTGTAGTTTGCGTCTGTGCTGGGAAGGTGACGTGATTCTGTGTGAGACTAGCTACAGATGTACCTGTACACCTCCTGTTATTGGTGGACTACATTGCCTGCCAGTCAGTGAGGAGCCAGACACTCCCTTTCATCTGTGGTTGAAAAACAGCACCACCTGGTGCTACTTACAGCTACCATTACTATACTTCGTCTTGTAATTTTTCACTTTATATCAGAAGTGTTTAAATAATTTTACCTGTATATAAATGTGTTGAAAGGCACATTTTTATGCAGCTGTCAGTGGCAGAGTTTCTGGGGAAGTTTTTGTTGGTTAAGCACAATAGGACACAAGTCTGCCATCAAAATCTCAAAGCCTTTTTCATCTCCCAAACTATAGCTAGTGTGGGGTAGTGAGGGTTCTTTTGAAGTGGTGGTACAGAGAGGGAAGCAGCTGGTGATCTCTGCACCACGTCATGTCACTGAGTCACATGGTCTGAGCCACTGTCCAACTCTGTATGTTTGAACCCTCTCTCTCTGAACACCTCTGAAAGGAGGAAACCCCTGCATAGGACATTCCTTCTTTCCCCAAGAACAGTTTCTTGTCTATATCTTAACCAATTAGGACACCTCACTAATGTGGGTGGTTTCTTCCGTCCTTCCATCGGTTCCTGGATTACAGGGGTTTCCCTGTAGTCAGATATGTAGTACAATATTATACATAATATTAGGTACGTATTATGACAACTGACTGAACATGAGGTATTGTCACTGCTGATGGGCTGGGTGCCATGTTCAGTGACCCCTGACTGGCAGAAAAAGAGCTGTCCTGGGTGTAGTTGACTTGCTTGCCTTGCCTTGCCTTTCTACCTCGTTACCAAGCTGTTGAGACATACACAGCTAGTGCACTCAGTCCACTTGGCATAGCAAACACACAGTCTTACATCTTAGCTATCAAAAGGCCACTCTCTCCTTTGGAACAGAGAGCCAGGCATGTTAGTTAATGACTGTAGCCCCTGGTAGTATGTCACTAAGTACACTAGTTTGTTCAATCCAATCCCACCAAGTGGGATGGTTCCCTGCGGTCCAAATGTCCCCTCTATTAAAGCAGTATAGTTGTACTGTGGTTGCATTGTCCAGTCCCACACAAAACTACCATCTTAATACTCCCTCTCACAATAACTCCCCCTCTTTCTTGCCTTGTATACAGTATAATACTCCCCTGGTCCCTCTATAAACGTTTCCTCATTTCTCTTAAAAACTCCCCCTCTTTCTCCTTAAAGACTCCTTATATCTACAGTACTGTATACAGTATGGTAGCTACAGTACTGTATACATATGGTAGCTACAGTACTGTATACAGTATGGTAGCTACAGTACTGTATACAGTATGGTAGCTACAGTACTGTATACAGTATGGTAGCTACAGTACTGTATACAGTATGGTAGCTACAGTACTGTATACAGTATGGTAGCTACAGAGAACTGTGCACTCCCCCACACAACTAATGTCCTACTTGGGGGCTCCTTAAAGTAATGTGTCAGTATATAAGGGCTAATATTTAAAAATGCTACTAAAGATAGAACAAAACAAGAGGAATGACAGCAAAGGTGCTAGTGCAGTCCTGGATCATTCTGTTTCCCTCATCTTGAGGAACTTTCTCTCATGTTTTTTGTCTAGTCCAATCCCGTAAACAGCTGGCAATTGCTTGCTCCTGTTCCCTGCCAAGAATATCACTGCTTACGTAATAGTGACCCTAAACAAGCGTATGCCAACTGTGTTGTTACAGTCCCACGCAACCTATAAACTCCTTATACCCTTTAGTCTCCTACCAATTTCCCTATAAACTCCTACACATAGCACTGATGTGGTATAGCTGACAAAGGACATTTTTCACCCACTCAACATTCTTCTGTCAATGAGCTATACGTAAGTACATTATTGCATGTTCAGTTGGGGAGGCAAGTGCCACGAGTGTGCCATCTGAAGATAGCTGGATGCTACCTATAGAGAATATTTCCCCCAATCACCTTCCTTTTAAATGTGGCAGTATATAAGGACTTGAAAATGTCGGGCTAAAAAACGGAGGTCTAACTGCATTATTTCATTTGGCCCTGTTGTTCTTTCAGCCGGATTCTATCTTCCATTGCCACAGTAAAACCCTTGTTTTATGGAAAACCACTTTTGTTGTAGGCCTCTTAGTTTCTTTCCTCTTGTACTCTCTCTCTTGTGGTTGGCCATCTTTTGGCAGAGTGTGGCCTGGCAGCTAGTGGTAACCTTGGCAACCTTTCATGTCCCTTTGCTCAAGTTTCAAAGACATTTTCACATCTTTCTAGCTCTGTGAAGTGAGCCACTGCCTGCCTACTGCTCTCTCAAATGTAACTCCACAGGAAGCTGTAGATTATAGAAAGCTAAACACTTTAACTTTGTGATGTACTTTTACTACTTGTGTATGTAGGTATACTAGCAGAAGAGGTTAGCTCCCTTTTGGGAGATTGTATAGAAGAATGGAGGAACCGATGGCAGGGAAATATACTGGTGCTTCACCCCTGATATGAGCTGCTATGGACATGTACTAGCTTTATACATGTCTCTCTGTTGGTAGCGAGGTAGAAAGGCAAGGCAAGGCAAGCAAGTCAACTACATCCAGGACAGCTCTTTCTTTAGAAGAAGAGCTGCCCTGGGTGGGATTCGAACCCACATCACTCTGTCATAGTCTGTCATAAGTATAATGTACAGTATGAAGGGGTTGGCATGGTTCCTATCATCCTAGATGTGTGGGAATATGATAGGGAGTTGTAAGGAAGGTTTAGCCAATAGGTAAGTTAGCATATGCTTTGAACAACTTAGTAGCTTTCTGGGAAAGCAGTGATAGGTATGTACTATGGGGAGGGAAGAATTTACATTGGGGAAGGAAGGAACGTGGGGATGTGAGAGTGTATGACGTGGTGGCTATGTGGGGGAGACCATAAATAAAGCCACACTTGCACACAACACACAGTAAAGGATACTGCTGTACATTTACTAGCACCGTAGTCCCCCATACTGCTGTACATTTACTAGCACCCTTAGTCCCCCATACTGCTGTACATTTACTAGCACCCTTAGTCCCCCATACTGCTGTACATTTACTAGCATCCTTAGTCCCCCATACTGCTGTACATTTACTAGCATCCTTAGTCCCCCATACTGCTGTACATTTACTAGCATCCTTAGTCCCCCATACTGCTGTACATTTACTAGCACCCTTAGTCCCCCATACTGCTGTACATTTACTAGCATCCTTAGTCCCCCATACTGCTGTACATTTACTAGCACCCTTAGTCCCCCATACTGCTGTACATATACTAGCACCCTTAGTCCCTGTACATTTACTAGCACCCTTAGTCCCCCATACTGCTGTACATTTACTAGCATCCTTAGTCCCCCATACTGCTGTACATTTACTAGCATCCTTAGTCCCCCATACTGCTGTACATTTACTAGCATCCTTAGTCCCCCATACTGCTGTACATTTACTAGCATCCTTAGTCCCCCATACTGCTGTACATTTACTAGCATCCTTAGTCCCCCATACTGCTGTACATTTACTAGCATCCTTAGTCCCCCATACTGCTGTACATTTACTAGCATCCTTAGTCCCCCATACTGCTGTACATTTACTAGCATCCTTAGTCCCCCATACTGCTGTACATTTACTAGCACTGTACATTTACTAGCACCCTTACTGCTGTACATTTACTAGCATAGAATTACAATGTTCACAAGTGTTTTGTAACTGCCAACCTGCGGAAATATAGCACTTTTAACAGTCCAAGGTCACTTTTTGCTTGTGCCATATCTATTGCCATTCCTCTTATCCCACCCTCTGTTCTCCAGATACCCAGCAATCTGTCGAGGTATTTCACTCCTGGTGTGCGGCGACTAATTCCAAACATCTCACCACTCACCTCACCCCTACACCTGCTGTATACCTACCTACTGTTGACCCACACGTACATCCCTCTATCAAAGACAGATAGAAGGACAGTAAGGGCCCTGCCTGCTGTGCGGAAGGACAGAACAAGCAACACATTAGATTGTCTTCCTCCTTCCCACTGTCTTTGTTGACCTTCCGTCCTAATAGCTTTTCTTGGAGGCTGGGCGCTCCCCACTGCCCACCAATCAGATAGCTGCATGCCTTATAAGATAGCGGCATTGCTTTGTTCGTATCGCTCTGTTGGCTAACACTCCCATTCATAGCGACAACCGGCGGATAACTTCACTCCGTGCGACACATGTACAGCAACCTTCTCACTTGAACTAAGACCTCTATTGGCTAGTATTTGTGGTATTTTCGAGTGATGACGAGCTCAAGTACTGATTCTGGTGTGTCACCCCCGCCAACCCTGGACGATGATCTCGTTAAACCGCTCTCAGAACTCGTAAAACGGGCTAAACCTGGCAGTCACTCGCCGTCGTCGAGAAACAAGTCCCCTGCCCCTCTAATTATTGCCGTCTATCGCTGTGGAGACCCGTACCACAAGCGGCGGGTGAAGGTCCCAGCCCACATAACATGGAGCCAGTTTCTTAGTCTTCTGTCCAGTCGACTCGACGTCCCCAGGGATTGCGAAATATCGACCTACGACGAGAATGGAATTGAAATCGTCTCTGTCGAAGATTTGGTTCCGAATGATGTCCTTGTTGTGAAGGAGCGACAGCCGGTGAGCGATTACCCCAGATCGCCGGGGTTTTATCCCCTCCACAAGGAGTAAACAACCCGATCAGGATAGAGTTCAGAGCGGGTCGTTGCTACGACAACACAAAGAGGCCCCTCCACCCCAGCAGACGACTTCACGTTCCGTTTCCGTAGTATCCAGTCGGCACGCCCAGACTCCGCCCATGGGAACGCCTCAATTGACTCACTTTATCAAAGCCAATCAGTTTGGGTACTATTTCCTGGCGGAAGTGGAGGCGGGGAGGGTGGGAGGGGGGAGGGAGGGAGGAGGGAGAGGAGGGAGGGAGTGTGGGGAGAAGGAGAGTTCACTGTGTAGTCAAAGTCCCGTCTTGTGACAAATCATCAGGTATTGGAAGTTTGTGCCATTATGTATGTGTTTAGCGCATTTATGGAAACCACACCCACCCTAATCCCCTTTCCTCAAGAGTTTGAATGTGTTTACCCAAATAAACGAAAATACAAGTCACCCAACACAACCCCTTACCACCCCTCTTTCTTCAATATTTCAAGAGTATAGTTTTAGCCCCTTTAGCTAAAGTGAAAAAGCCTGCTTCGATAATAATTCTATTTTGAACTGCTTACACGAGTCATTGCTTCGAGTGTCTTAGCACAATATGTCTCAATGCCCCGGCGTGCCTTGCTGCTCTGCCGCGTCGCGAGGATAGAATTCATTTCTTTCTTCGCGGCACCACGCAACGCGGGACAGTGCAACGGGGCAATGCGACATAATTATTGTGAACCCAGTCTTACCCGGGAGAGGTCTAGGATTAGTGGGTTTTGTTATGCACTTGCCTTCCTGTGGGGGGCAGGTGTCCTTTTGCGTTGCCTGACAAAGAAAAATGGAGACAAAGGGCCAATTAGTTCAGAGTAAGTATAGAAGTGTGCACCTACAACTGTTACAAACTAGATTCCGTGATGCTATATTTCACAAACTTGTTTGCAACTCATGTATCCGGCCGACGTTTCATTTCTCTCAGAACGTGTAAACCTACGTAATTCGTGAAATTCGCGGCATTTCTCACAATATATACTACAAGGATGCTATAATAATACTCTATTAGCAATCAATTTATCATGTTACACCTCTGCTTCGTAAAGAATGTGCTTAATTTTGCCACTCAGTTACAAGCATAATGCAGACTAGCTGATTGTCCATAATTACTATTTACTTATTTTTCCTATGTTGTATATAAGTGGTATGGTCATTAAGACAATTTACAGTTCTCCATTTAAAGGTAATTCCGCCATGAATATACTCTCAGTTTGAACCTTTTCCTTAGTGCTATATACGGTCATTGCCACATACAACAACATTCTGAGTGCTGTGTTTAAACTACGTATGTACCACGAATAAGAGTAGCATCTTCTGCGGTGTTGAAATTCATCGTGCTTGCTATGCACAACATTCAATGTCAGCACATAATACCATACGTAGGTACCTGTCATTGCTGCTGTAAGCAGGGCCGTGTGGGTATTATACCAGGCATGCATATGTATATATACTGTACCTATTATACCTACATACATATTACCCTCGCATGATTTGTAGCTAACACTTCGAGTGTCATGCGCGCACACACAATACTCTGTCCATGAATGGCGCCGTGCACACTGCCAATGAATGTAACAGTTGCGTGTGAAACTGTTTCCAAATGACGTGTTGTACGTGGTGATTATAAATTCATAATCCCCAGTCGGTATCTGTAATATGTACAACATGAATAGAGCGTTGTGGGAAGGTATTCCTTGCATGGTCGTATTTTGACTAGGGTCTTTGCTGTTCACTAATCATGTTGATATACATCAGCAACTAGGCTGTATACGTAATTATATCGCCTATACATCAGCTAGGCTTATGTATTAACACACATACACAGTACTTTATAGGATATATATTGGCTAATACTTTTTATATGCACCTGGATACACACAATACACTATGTTGATTGGTGTAAATATATTTATGTTCACTTTGGCTTTGATCTGAAAGGAATACTTGTAGATTTCGTGTTCGTAGACGTGTGGCATCAATTGAACTACATTGATATGGACAGGTGTGACGGGATTGGAACAAATTTCCCAATAATGAATCATACACAACCTCTGAATTGGTATATGCCTCGAAATAGGTGTAGAGAGTGAATAGAGTACAGGCAGAACAGGGCCGAGTTGGTATTGCTCTAAATTATTGGAGACATTTTAGAGTTTCTAGTTTCTACAAGCAAACGGAAACTAGTTGTACACAAGTAAGCTGTACTTAGCAACGTCGACTTGTCTGCAAGCTGTCTGTCCTCACACTTGTGCAATGACTACACTAGGGCTGGGGCTAGGGCTAAAGTCAGTGGTTGGAGTTTTGCGGGTATTACCATATTTGGGCACTATCAGACTGCCACAAAGAATGATGATGAAACATGTGCTAACCTGCAGCTTCAAAGACTCCGGCCGGCATATGTCAGTCCATTTGTGGTGCCTTTCATCCTAACATGTCCATACAAGATGCATCTTCTTCCTTTCATCAATATTTACAATACATAATATACCACATCTGTAGTGGTCTCATTTCCAATGACATCATACATTTCCAAACCCACATTTACCGTGCTTATATCGCCAATGACCTCCTACATTTCCGTACCCACACTTACGTATAAAATCTCTACATTTCCAATGATAGCACAATGTGTATTACAATGACTTGTGTGCATACAATTCGCCATGCTGGTACTTTTATCTCCATTAGCCTTCGTTAGGACACCTCACTCCCACACTTACTCTCTCTTTACTCCCCCTATCACACGTATATATATACGGAGCTAGTGCTCTTATTCCATCGTTCTCTCTCTGGAACAACTCACACATGCAATTTTCGACCATTTTCTCTACTTCTTTTCCTCTGTACATGTATGTACTCTTGGCTCTCCTTTTAGACTGTGGTCTATGGTTCTAGTGCTACAGCTGCGTTAGTTTTTCTTTTCTTCTCCTCTCTCTCTTTACCTGTTCTTTCCCTTCTTTGCCCCCCTCCCTCCTTTCCACAGACATCTCCAGGATATTTGAAGTTGAATCCTCTCTCCTCAAGAAGGTCTCGGGCCACCGTTCCATAGTCCCTCCACCCACCATCCACATCCTCAACTTTGCAAACCATTTCCTTCAACTGTTCTTCTCCCATCTTCCTGAACACCAGCAACCTCCACTGACAGAACTGTTCTTTAGTGGGACGTGCAGCGAGGCGTACATATTCCCTCTCTTCGGTGTTACTATGGCCACTAAGATAAAGGTGAGCGTAAATATACCCTTCTCTTTGGTGTTACTATGGCCACTATCTAAGATAAAGGTGAGCGTAAAACAGAGTATGAATGTTGGTTGACCAAGTGGCCCACCCTTTTGTTGCCTTCTCTCCCTCCCCTTCAACTTGTCGACTCATGTTTACACTTGTTCATCCACGTGTGTGTGCCCCCCCTCTCCCTTTTTCTTTCTCTCCCTCCCCTTCAACTTGTCGACTTATGTTGAGACTTGTTCATCCATAGTGTGCCCCCCCTCCCTCCCTTTTTCTTTCTCTCCCTCCCCTTCAACTTGTCGACTCATGTTGAGACTTGTTCATCCACGTGTGTGTGCCCCTCCCTTTTTCTTTCTCTCCCTCTCCCCTTCTCTCCCTCCCCTTAAACTTGTCGACTCATGTTGAGACTTGTTCATCCACGTGTGTCCTCCCCCTCCCCTTCTCCACCTTCACCCTTCCTCTCTTTCTCCCACTCTTTCTTCCCCTCTCTCCCCTCCTTCCCCTCTCTCCCCTCTTTCCCCTCTCCCTCCCCTCTTCCCCCAAAAGACTGGACTGACACCAGAGAGGGCGGTACGCTATGCATACCAGCTAGCTGACACAATGTACTATCTACAGCAGAGAGGAGTAATTCATCAGACTCTGCTGCCTGAAAACATACAGGTATAATACATTTACAACAAGACAGTTAATTTTACATTTTTCTGATTGGTGAAAAATAATCGTAATTCGTGTGTATATTGATTGTTTGACAAAATTGGTGGCTTTTAGCTTTCCCATACAAAATAGGAACTTTGACATACGTGACAATTTGCACCTTTTTGTGCATATAAAGTGAGTGACGAATAAATCCCTGTATGTAAATTAATTCCGCTTTCAATTTCCTTACGTACAAGTCCAAATCAATTTCAGTATAATTATAGGTTAACCCAATTATACAAGAGTGTGTTATTTCATATACCACACTTCATTAGCTTCAGTTGTACATATCGTTGTCTATAATTCCAACGGTGTGTGAGTAAGTACTGTATATATTATCATAATACTGTTGGTGGACGTAAAGGTTGGTTAGTGCTATTGACAAAATGGCACCTTCTCCCTAACGCACGCTCCAACAAAGTTCTGTTATACAATATCCGCTCACTACTTCTCATATTATACCCCTGGGACCGTATGGGATGGAGAGGAGGTGGAGGGAGGGAGGGAGGGAGGGAGGGAGGGAGGGAGAAAGGGAGGGTAGGCCAGAAACGAGAGACTCTTGTTTTGCGTGTGTCGACTGGTGCCAAGTTACGTAACCAAGGACGATACGAGGTTGTAAAAGAATCCAGTTAGCGGCGGCACACGTGTGTGCGGTTTCCACGGCGAGCGACAAAAAATGCCTCCAAAAATGATATCTTATTACGCTGTCATTTCTTATTAACATTCCTTGTGTCAATATGAACATGTACTACAGTATTAACATTCCTTGTGTCAATATGAACATGTACTACAGTATGCATACATCCAGCAAAGTTGACCTTAGGCCTGCCAACCTATCTGTCAGTGTCTGTCTGTCTGTGTGAGGCATGGCTTTTCGGCACGTAAGAAAAACTATAGGTGTTTGGTTGTCCAGTTAGTGTGTTGGCGTGTGGAGGGAGACTGGTATATAGCTCTGGGTAACTGAAGTAGCCTGAGGTGGAAGTTGCCAGTAGCAACCAGAGTAAACTGAGAGTATTGATGGTAGATGTGGTGGCTCCTGCATGTGCCGAGTCTATGAGGCTGTAACTGAGATGTATTATATATCTTCTCCCTTTCTCTTCTCTTTCTGTCTGTCTGTCTGTGTTGGATTATTCTCTTTAACAAACCCAACTTTACCATGTACTCTTATGAAAACTGGCGAATGGTGGGCAAAAACTAAGCATTTGCGTTTTAGCAATTTTGGAAATAGTATACTACTGATGTTTTGGTGCCACATTTCTGCCTAATAATGACCTTGCTGTGTTAGTCTTGTACATGTTTATCACATAAATCATGTAAGTGACATATTATACCAATACATATCCATTTACGAGTGGAGCCGAAGTGTCCAGACAGAAAAACTACCAGTCGCTGTTTTGAAGCATGTTTCCTTACCTTCTGGGAATACATGTACTTGTATTGTGTACATGTACTCTGGGACTGTGATTATGATTATTGAGTGGGAGATGTTGTATGTGGTATAAACTATGGTAGTAGAGAGTTACATGGTGTATTGGTTGTGGTGTATTAATGTAACATTATAAGCCGTAGCATAATGTTACATCATAACATAGGTGGTAAAGGTTTTAAGAGGTAGTAAAGAGGCTATCACATGATGTAAGTTGTAGAGGTGAGATCATCATTGGTGTAATACCCCTGAGGCAGCTAGACACATTTTCCACAACATGGTATCTATCTATGTGACATCTATTCCTGGTAATCTTGTTTCTCCGCCCGAAAGTTAAGTATGAACACACATTATTGTGGTAGGCACAGGTTTGTGACAAGGCAACTCGCTCCAATCTTTCCTCTTTCCCCCTATCTCGCTCGCGTCTTCTCAAAGGAGAAGAATCTTAATCTGCTCAGTAATAATCTGTTTACACTTAAAAACCTGGTACCTGGTTTAAATTCCCCAACTGTGTATCCCGGCAACCAGCATACCAACGTGTGCCCAGCCCTTGTCACAGAGGTGTTGGCAACCCACAACAGCAGCCAACTGACCTAATTATTGCAGCTGGTCTTAATTTACTGCTAAATGCCATTTGCGAATGTCAGTTTTAGTCCCACAAAAGGAACCCATAAGGTGACATTGCTGTATTATATAGCTTGATATTTTTTGTTGCTTCGATTGCCAGCAAAAGGCAGCAAACCATTCGGATGGGATACACAAGCTAGCAATATTTGACAATGCCTTTTAGGAGGGCAAAGGCGAGTGCATGATTTCATCAGCTTAGCACTGACAATGCATATATAATCAGCAACTTGAGCAGCTAGGTGTGTTCATTTCGGTCACCAATGATGCACACATGAACGAAATGTAACTGTGAGTGCTGTATGCTCTCAAGATGCTATCACTTAGCGCTTTTCACCCAATCGATCTTTCCCTCCAATCAGGTCACGTCAAACGACAAAGTGATGGTGTGTAATTTTGAGACTGCAATACAGACTGACCCTGCCACCTGCACCCTCCTCGTCTCTCACAGTCTCATCGCCCCTAGCAACCGCATGGGACTCTCCCCCGAAGTCCTCAATACCTTCAACAGGTGGGTACATTACTGACTACATGTAGATATTAACCCTCGGCGAGCATGCTCTGCGAGGTTTACTGAACTCTGGGTGTCTTTTGTGCTGGGATACAAGTGCTTTTGGTTTGTTTCCAGAAGAGATGCAGAGATAGTTGACTACTCCACACAATACCCCTGGAATTTCGGAACTCTTTCTGTCATCATGGCTACAGGTAACTTTCCTCTCTCCCCTCTCTCCCTCTCTCTCCTTCCTGACCCCTCTGCCTGCCCGTTTCACAACCAGAACATGTAAATTGATGCCATGTATGTTTTTTCTCTCTCACATTAATTGAACAGGTCTACATCCACTGAGGAACTACCCCGGACGCTATCTGAACGAGGGAAAGGTCAAATATCGCTCACACAACTACCAAAATCTGCCTGACATCAACAAAGTATGATCTACTATTGGTACAGTATCAACTCAGTTCATAATTCACAATTTGTGCAGCTTTGTAGCTTTTGCCACAGTCTAGCTGTGCTATTAGTGTTTATGCTTCACCGTTCACCTATGGTCTTAGTTCATGGTTTAATTTAAAAAAATCAAGGGATTCCCATGCCTTTGACTAGTGCACTAATTGCAGCAAGAATTATGAAGGTGGAAAGGAACAGCAAACTTTAAGGTTTGAGAAAATCCACAGAAAAAGTGTTTCTATAGTGGGAATAAAGGACCTTATTTAATGGAAAAATAGTTGAGTTTCTCCCACTGTGATACCGTTGGTTGTCCTCTGCAGTACCCCTCCCTGTTCTGTCGGCTGGTGAAGAGATCTCTGTCATGTGACCCAGTCCGCCGACCAACCCTCTTCCAGATCACCTCCATCATGAAGAAAGACTCACGCACACTCACTATGATGTCATGTGAGTGTCACATGACAATAACAATTAGTCATGTTACCATAATGTTTTAGTAATGGGTACGTATGCTTATAGAATTGAAAACAAAAATTGGGCCCAAAATGTTTCACCGACTTTTACATGCTACATTCACTGCACAACTTTCCACCATTCTAAAATGATACACTATACAGAACTCTCCAGTCTCATGATGAAGTTTATATTCCTCTCTCTCTTTGTAGCGAATGGCAGAGGAAAGACAAGTGTGGGAGCAAGACAATCAGTTCATCGCAGAGACTCTGCCAGAGAGCATTCAGAGGTGGAGAGAAGCAGAGAACAAGGTTATAGAGGAGAAGGAAAGAGGATGGGAGGGAGAGGGGGAGAGGGGGGTGTCAGAGAGTAAGAAAAAGGATGTATAGAAGATAGGGAGGTTGAAGTTAGGATGTTATAGGTCTAGAAGAGCTCTTTGAGCACATGCTGATTAAGGTTCCCCATTATCTTCAAATACCTGCATATACGTAAGAAAGAGATTGGAACACAGACATTTAAGAGAGAAATTTTTGTGTATCCTTACAGGTACAGAAAGTCTTTA